AAGTGACGCTAACAATTAACCTGGAAAGCTCTAAGGTTCTAGTTGGAGATAAATAAGGATTTAGTCCGTGTGCTGCAGTCAACTACAAGATGATACCCAAAAGTTAGCCATTGGATAACGTGGAATTATAAAAAGTTTTTTTAAACATCCCGTAATCGCAGTAGCCACTCCCGGAATTTGTAGATATCTTATTGTTGCAATTTTGTGAGGTTGGGGTTACCCAAAATGTATATAAAAAATATTGGACCGCATGTATTTTCGACAAAACAGTTGCTACTACTACAGGTCAACCACTCAAACCTCTTAGATGCGCAGAAGGAAGAGTGAAAGAGTCACTGCGCAACAGAGACAGACGACAGGAAGTCCCTCGAATGAACAGTCCGTGCAACAATTATTCCTATTTGAATTCTTTGCATATTCCTTCCTAAAACTAAATAATACTTATATTACAGAAATATAAGGGTACAATTTTTGCAATTGTCATGCATTTTTTGTTCGCTTTGGGGTTATCCACTATCGATTACCTTAAAAAATCTACGTTTGGGTGGGCCTTTTTGCTCGGTATGGTCAAGAAATGTAATAGCTGCAATTAGGGCAATAAAATAACAATAAAGGAACATTTTCACAATAACCACCTTATCAATTTATATGAAATATGAAAATAAAGAATCTAAAGAGCAGCTTTCATTTAGTCAGTACATTAATAATAATTTTGTTCATAAAACACTAACTTAGAAGCTTCCATCTTAGCAGTTTCAGAAAGCATTAAATCAGTATAATTAAAGGTGCCTAAATAAGCTTGTAAATGTGTCAAGGGTAAAATAGGGGAAGAAATATCTCAAAATTGAAAAAATACTGTATACGGATATCTTTTTGAACTGGATAATTCAGTTGGAATAATTCTGTTGACGTAAGTAGACCCTGAAACAGTGACCTGTTTAAAAAAGACATATTTGCCCTTCTTTATACATAATATTAATGACAAATTAAACACAATTATTTGTTTAAAACAGGTAAAACTTTTATCACATAATAAGTATTTACAAACACATTTACACATAAAATTTACTAGCTAAAATAAGTTTTATTATTTTCAACAAATAAGTTCTGGGTCACATTATTTTCTTTTAATTCCTCGATTCCAGATAAATTACTGTCTCCTTCGTCTAACCCATCAGTTCCATTACTTTCTCTATCACTATCATTTTTGCCCAATATAATAATAAGCTCTTCCCCAACTGATCTATTGTTGGTTCCTTTGAAATATATTCTTCTTTAAACCGTTTAGCTCTCTCACATCGAGATCTTCATTTGTGACCTCAGAATTCTTTAAAAAATCATCACAGTAATGAATGACCTCGTTAAAATTAAAATTTATGTTCCTTTTGGGTGTGGGATTAATACAAAATATAATTGAGGAGAAGAAAAATATGCAGAAGATAAAAATATCTGAAGATAAGTGATAGGTACTTTAAGTAAAAGTTAAGTGATAGTTGAAGTAATAGTTGAAGTAATAGTAATAGTTGAAGTAATAGTTGAATTAATAGTTGAAGTAGTAGTTGAAGTAGTAGTTGAAGTAATAGTTGAAGTAATAGTTGAAGTAATAGTTGAAGTAATATTTGAAGTAATAGATGAAGTAATAGTTGAAGTAATAGTTGAAGTAATAGTTGAAGTAATAGTTGAAGTAATAGTTGAAGTAATAGTTGAAGTAATAGTTGAAGTAATAGTTGAAGTAATAGTTGAAGTAATAGTTGAAGTAATAGTTGAAGTAATAGTTGAAGTAATAGTTGAAGTAATAGTTCAAGGAATAGTTGAAGTAATAGTTGAAGTAATAGTTGAAGTAATAGTTGAAATAATAGTTAAAGTAATAGTTGAAGTAATAGTTGAAGTTATAGACCTAAAAGAAGCTATCTAAGTCTCTACATATGGAATAATTTAAAGAAGCCTTTAGAAAATCGGAGACGAAGATGAGCCAGGAGCTAAAAAAGTAACGTGTAGACGTGAAAGAAGAGAATCTGGAGAATTAAAGACGAAGAAGAGGAGCTAAAGACGTGAAGTAGGACTATCGAATAATGTCAAAAAGAGCAAAATAAAATCGTCTTCGGCTGGGAAGACGTGTTAGAAAAGAAATTTTACACTTTTTATTTGGAAAAAACATGAGATTTTAAAACAATACCGAACAAATAATATGTTTTTCAGTGACAGTTACGCCGTCTGAAGGAAACAGTAGAACATGCATTATTACATTTTTCTTCGGAGCAAGTGTACTAGACTTGTTTTTAATTTTTAAAAAAAGAACGAGATCATGAAAATGATTGAATTATTACACTTTTCTTCGGGACGTGCGAATTATCAGCTATGTAGCAAACGTAAATATTTCAATTAAGATATATGTCCTAGTAAACATGGCGTCAACCCCAGGACTATTCAGCAAGTTTGGCCCGGCACGGGGCGCTTCTCGTACGGCCCCCTTAATGGGGCTCTAACGACGTCACATATTGCTATTCTTAATTGTCGGGTCGGGGCGCAGTCAGTATTTAATAAAGCGCAACTGTGAGTTCCACATTGGCGCTTTTCCTCTTCGTGTTGTACCAGCTTTAACACTAACAAGAAATTTCATTATTCCCCGAGTCAGGGATAATATTTTTGCTGGATATTAAAACGGCGGTAACTTGTAATTCGTACAGGCTAATTGGCGAGGAGATTAATAGTTCAAAGTTTGGAAAACGTAAGGGGCTATTTATTATTTTAGCACCTACTTAAATTTTCTTTATTAAAACGAAGACTCTTTTAATCTAATACGTTATAAATTATTATAGGGTATTGGAACACTGCTTGTTGAAACACCTTTATGTGATTGGTCTGAACAATAATTCGACTACGTATATACTTTGCATGGAAGAGAAAGAAACCTTTTACCTTCTCATCTTTGTTAGACAGAAATAGATAGAACGCCCCAAGAGCACTTGGTAAGAAACCTAGTTGAACTAGTCAAAGTCACAGGACTATTTAAATGTAGTACTTAAATATGAGGAATACCATAGACCACAGTATTCTGGGATAAATGTAACCAAACGTAGTTATAACCGACAAAGATAAAAACTTCTCAAAAGTTTCTACATAATGTGAACAAATTTAAAGCGAACCTCCAAATAATCGGGGCCAGGAGCTAAAAAAGTAACGAGGAGACGTGAAAGAAGCCTCTGGAGAATTAAAGACGAAGAAGAGAAGCTGAACAACTGACGTAGGACTATCGAATAATGTCAAAAAGAGCAACATAGTATTTTCTTTGGTTGTGATGTTACTTTATTTCGTTAAAATTAACAAATCCTACATTTAGTGCAACAACGTCGTAAGTGTAAAAATTTTTTTTTACAAGTGATCCATTTGAAAGTTTTGCTCGTCATAAACTAAAATGTAATTAAAGTCAAATGAATTAATAATTGCTCATTTATTGTATATGTTATATTTACCACATTGCTGTACCAGATGTAAAAGCAGAATATTCGTATTTTATGACTAAAAAGTCACTTTCTAATATTTTTGCACTTATGACGTTGTTGTACTGGATGTGCGAAATATGAAATGACTACTCTCGTTGGCTGAAGGGATATTGTATCCAGACGACGGAACTTCCGATTAGAAGACCTACTATATCTCAAGTCGTGATTCGATAATCCAACCAAGCATTGGTCCAATTAAAAGGTAGTTAGGTCCTTTTAACTTGGACGCCAACCAATTTAAAAAAAAAATCAATTTGATAGACAAGTTTATAATTATAAGTTGAGTTTATAATTATTATAATGTTTGTTTATTTATTATTATTTATTTATACAAATCTTTATACAAACAAAACAAAAGTTTATTAGAAATTCTAAGTTTTGATTTAGATTTTTTTGTAACCATGTAATGTTTACAGTACTCTGCATTTAAAACCTACAAAATAAAATAGTCTATTTCCCGTTTTACGGGGTATACGATTAAGTTTTTAATTTTTTAAATGGATTGCTCTGTATATTTTAGGTTTAATTTTTTTTTAATATAAAGGTCAAAATACATTATGATAGTGTTGTCAAATTTTCATTTATCTCACATATTTTTAGAACTGGAAAAAATGGCCTAAGTGGTAATGGAGTAGTATTTACAGATTGACAATAAAATTTATTTATTGTTTCGGCCTTTACTTGATGAAAATCCATGTTATCTTGAATGAGTAAAACCAAATAAGGTAGATTTTCACAAAACTTTTATTTTAAAAAATAAAAAATAAAAATTAAAAACACTACACATGACAGGTTTTGAAGTACAACTTCTTTTTCAAATGTGACTAATTTACAATTCGGTATCCAATATATATGCGAAATAATTAAATAAAATAAAGTACTTAAGAAAACATCAATAACATAACAAAATAAACTAACTATTTAAAGTAAATAAGGGTACTTAGGTAATTATGATATCAATCAAATAACAATAAGATAGTAACATTACCTGGATTATCTCACAGAAAACTAGGAAAGAGATTTAATAAGGGTGAGTTATTAATATCTAATTGATCATTGAGTAGGTTATCTGAATTTTTAAATCTATTTATTTCAAGTGTTTCTAAATGGTCTGGTTTATTGCCCTTATTTTCTATATGTGAAATTTCAAAGTTGTCTGTAAAAGAATGATTTTCAGCTAAAATATGATTTGAGTAAGTAGAATAATTTTTGTTTTTTGTATAGCTATTATAATGTTCGGAATAGCGCTTTTTGAAAGTACGGCTTGTTTGACCAATATACAGTTTTGGGCAACTATTACAATTTAATTTATATACCCCCGATTTATTATTAGGATTAATTTTACCCTTATTGTTTTTAATATACTAACCAAGCGTATTATTGGTTTTAAAAGCTACGTTAATATTTTGATTTTTTAAATATAATGATACCTTTTCACTAGGAGCTCTAACATATATAGGAGCAGTCAGAGATTGTCGCTGGAATAGGCTAAACCATATGCATGTTCCCGAATTTCCTCGGTTAGATATCGATGATCTAAAACACCTCGTTGGTCCCTACCATCTATATTTAGGTCCATCATATATACAAGACAAATTACAAAGAGAGGAACTTAATGTTTTAGAAATTGATGAGTTAAGAGAAGAACCTAATTTCTTACGTTTTAGAATCTACTCTAGATTTAGAAATGCCACTAAATATATGCTGTGGTTGGCATACGAGGAGCCACTTAATCAAGACAATCCTCCATTTTTTTACCATTACTGCACATGTCCATCCGGTACGAGAACTTTAAGTACTTGCGCACATATTGCAACAATTTTATGCTTTTTTGGATATGCTAGACACCACAATAATATTAAATTTCCACAAACACGTCTTCTTAATTGTATAGACGATGCAGTGCACCGATTGCTACCAGAAAATATCGATCTCGATCCCATAATAGAAGATAATAATTAAACTGCAACGATTATTAAACATTCTACTTTTAATAACTTAATGTACCTGTAATTTGGACTTCTCAATTTTAATACCTTAATTTACTCTTTATTTGGACACCTTCATTAATTTAATATATGTTTGTTATTGTCGCACATAATGACCTTATAAAGTACCTACAGTTTTTGTCCATAACTTCAACAATGGCAATGAACATAATATAATGATTCTACAAAACTATCAGTGGAATAGGCCTAAAGGGGATACCACTTAAAACAAAACGCGCCCATGGCTCTACCTCACGGGTGGTGTGGAAACGAGCTTAAAATCTGAAATATCGGTTCCATAAAAAACGAAAATATGTAAATGCTTTACAGTTTTCTAGTAAGTCCGTTCTGCATCTATTGTAATATTGAATAACCCTGTATGGGGTTTTCTGCATCATACGTAAAACTTCCAAAACCTAATTTAAAAACGATTTATTAAAAAAAAATAGCTAACCAATTTCTATTTTTTGGCAGCTTTTAATTTGATTTGTTCATTTTGACCTTTTACAAGCTCAAGTAAGATCACCCTGTGAGTATGATTCTTTTATTTTGTCTCCAAATAATGCAAAGGTACAAAATAATCCAACACAGTGGGTAAAAATATTTAGTTTACGGTATTTCTCTTATTTCGTGATTATTATTTATTACTAAAAATTGATATTTTATATACTAAACGTTTAATTTTTTCGAAAACTAGCCATAGGATCTAATTTTACCAATTAGAATTTTGAACGAGGACATCGAGATCTACACTATATCTAATATTGAGAAATATTGACGGTGATTTTTTTTTAATGACATTTCATGCTATTTTTGTATTGTAAAATTACATACTTTTTCCAAAACAGGTATGTGAAAGCATGAATCACCCTGTAAGTATCAGTATTTTAATTTTGCTTATTAGCTATGTATATTCTCTACATATATCAGTCAGTAACTTCCAAAAATATTTAAAAGGGGGTTTTTGGTGTCCTTTTTAAAGAAGTCGGGGTTTTCAACTTCAACGCCCTGTATGTCAAAATCTAGCCATAGGATAGGATTGGGTCCATGGAGACTTTTAATTAGGACATAAAGGACTATAACATATAAAAAAATTCAGACAATTTGACGGTGCTCCCGTTTGCATAAGAAAAGTCCTTTGGTTTTACTCATTTAAGATGACAATAAAATGTTTTCTCGAGTAATAATAAATTATGCAAATGAATTGTACCAATTAATAATAATGACTAACTAACATGTTCCTATTTTTAAATCAATGTTTTTACCCTAAGGGGAGATATTTAGAAAATTATGTATTCGTAAAATTCACTTTCTCGCCCTGTAGACTGGAAACTGGGACGTTATACTAAAACTATACAAATTTTTAAATTTATTGTATCCTAAGTTTGTACTTAAAATAATCAATACTCAACTCTATGTAACATGAGTTTAAATATTTTTTCGTCAAATAAATTTTATAAAAAATGTCCGGTGACGAAATACCCAAACCCATTCCTATAATTAACGTAAACATCGTCACATCACTCTCTTGAAACTTTTGAAATTTGTCAAAAGCCGTGAGAAAAATTTCTCATAAATCACAAGAATTTTTTGAAGTGATGCAAGACGTTTACTTTTATTGCCAGTGCTTAGAGTTAACCATTTTTGTAATCAATAATTAAATTCTCTGATGGTTTACGTGTGCCAGCGGCGTTTAAAAATTATTTTTTTACCGTTAGCTATTTCTACAATATTAACTAGTTATTAAAGAAGATGAATATATGTGACAATTTTTATATTGGTATACGAATTATGGAAATTGTTTAAGTACTTATTGGTAGTAAGAGACATTTTGGTTTTAAATAATAACGTCATTTTTATTATAAGATATTAAAACTAGACATTTTTTATACTTTTTTCGGTATTTAATTACATATATGTCATTTTTTTATTAACGAAAATAAAATTGATTTAAAAATGTAATTTATTTATTAGAAAGTTTAAGGTGAGTACCTAAATGATTATTATTCTAATAAAATTTGTAATTTTATTAAAAACAAAAGGATATTAGCTCGTTATACAACTACAAGATATAATAGAGTAGCACATCTCGGGGTAGAGGCATTTCTAGAGTTTTAAAGAGATATTAAATTAAAGAAAACTACTGGTTTTGACATGTGCAGGCGTTTATGCTTAGATATTTTTTTATTTAGTTCTAAGATTTGTACTATATTTAAGAGAGTGGACAAAACACATAACAAATTTTATGCTGACAATATGTATCTTTGAAATCCTTCTGCACAAACATTTGGATTATTAGGTATATTGCATCCATTATATCATCCCATAAAAATGGTTTTGTAAATCTGCAGTAACAAATTCCGTTAGTTACACTCAATGCATTACAGAAAATATGGACAATCGTCTGTAAGCTGATGTTGCATATATAGACTTTTTAAATGCGTTTGACAGACTTGATCATGGGATACTTACTCGTATAAACAAACTTATCAGTTACAGGTTGTCAGAGTCTGTCATAAAATTATTCTGTTATTACTTTCAAAATTGTCAACATTATGTTTTCTTAAGCTGTAAAATATTTTACGTCTGAGTTGTCACAAGGCTCTGTCCTTGGACTTTTAGATATCTTTATTATCGACTGGAGTCAACTATTTTTTCATTGTTGATGTAAACGTTTCGTCCAATTCAGCGTTGTAGAGCAATGTTACAGGAGCGGCGCAATATATAATGTTGAGTTTATTTCAACAAAAACATCGTGGAGTTCATTAATGTAAATTTTTACTAACGCTGACCGTGAACGTGTGCTTCATAATATAAAAGCAGTCAAACATTAAAGGCAATAAAGGCATTAAAGGCAATAAAATATTTTACAATGTAATTTTCTTTATAACCTGATCCTATTTTATTCAATTATGAAATAAACAACTCATCTTTACAAAGATGAACATTTTGTCGATATTGGTATAACATCTGATCCAAAATTTTCATTTATATTGTCCATTGAAAAGAATGTATCCGCTGTATCCAAATATATAAGTTTGTAGTATCAGTAAGTAGTTATCAGATACAAAAACTCTTAAAATGCTTTATCATTTATTCGATCTAGGCTTGAGTATGCTTCCATTATTTGGAATCTACATTACCAAACTTATCGGTACAAATAAGAATGAGTTTATCATCTATTTTTAAACTTTACCTGCTTTAAACATGATGGCGTTTTTCCGAAAATATCTACCTAATAGACAAACAATTATTGATCTTGAGACCAGGCGGAATTGTTATTTGTTAATTTTCCTACACAAAGTGGTAAGTATAACGGTATAAAATAAGTTTATTGCCCTTAAAATATTATATATTTTTTTACTTTGATGTCTAGTACAATAAATAAAAAAATAAATTTTAAATAAACGATACAGATAATAGTATATTATGCAACGATCATGTAATGATGGTTATTAATACACGAGCATTAACCGGGATACGAAACGAGCCAAAGGCGAGTTTCGTATGGTTTATGCGAGTGTTTTAATAACCATTACATGAGAGTTGCATACGCTATTTTTTCTACACCCGATAAATAATCAAGACCTATAAATATTATATTTATGTTGGTATTGAACACAATAACAGTAATTACTCGTATTTCTATAAAAAATTCTACAAAATTGTAATTAATGGTATTACTTCAGGTATTGGTATTTCCCTAGATTTTTGCGGTAAAATATTTTGTACTGTATTTTCTGCTTTCTCCGATATGTGTGGAGGAGTCTTCTATATCGCTAATATCAGACATTTTAATATTATAATTATCGAAGTTTAGCTACCTACGAAAATTTAATACGTTTTGACAACTAAAATAATTACATAGGAACCTAGGACAAACGTCAAACAGCATGCTTGATTGAAAAATTGTAGGTTTCTATTGATTAAAAATCTGTATCGTAATGAAAAATCTGTATCATAATGGGTATCATTATGAAACGGATTATGGGCATATAAGTGCATTATTATAATACGGGTGTAGAAAAAGTATTTTTTATTGTATTCACTAAACGACTTTATTAATTGATAATTAAGCCTGTAAATGATTACAATCATTCATATTGTGTTTATGATTAAGCAGACAGAGCTGTCGCATCAACTGCCATATTTAAACGAAGGAGACAGCTGCTAATTTGAGTGGGGATGGTTTGTATATTTATCTGAGGAGCGAGAATAAATTACGCTTGCTTCACACCAGTGTTGCTAGAGTATATTTTTGTTATGTACCAGATTTGTCTAAAAAATGTACCAGATTCCATAAAAATATATCAGATTCTATACAATTTACCAGATTTTTTTGAATTGTGAAGTGTGGACATAAAAGAACCACAAAAAAGGTTTATAGACAACACGAATAAACCCAACAATGAAGACCCCACAATATATTTTACAAGTCAAATAAAAACAAACGCTTATACAAAAAAAAGTATTAGATTTTGCTTCGAGTGTACTAGGATACCAGATTCTTAGAGAATGTACTAGATCTAATAAAATTATACTAAATCTATAAATGTTGTACCTATGCTAATTTAGAATGCAGTTTCTAATATTTACTTATTACTGTCATTGATAATAAACCATTTAATTTAACTATTCTGAAAAATATATCAACATTTTATTTTAATACCTCTCTGCACTATGTTTATACTTACCTAAGAAATATTATTTTTGAAATTTTCTTGCTATCCACACCATTGTTACTTGTGCAATTGGGCTTGGCACCCGACGCCATTGTTCTTTTAAAGTTTTAAAGACGAATAGTTTATATAGGGGTCTATTCTGTAACAATTCCTTTATATTTAACGGCCTTTAAAAATATTTTCGTATTCGTTAATTTACTTCTGTCATTACTTAAACAGATTTCTTTAAGATAGTCCTCTAATTTATTTCGAAGATCCGTTTAAATAATAACAGAAGTAAAGAAGAAAATAT